TAGTAAGGTTGACGGGTCGGAGTGTATGACGTGGCTGGATGAACAGCCGCGTGGCTCTGTGTTATACATATCGTACGGTAGTGGTGGGACCCTATCTCATGAGCAACTAATTGAAGTTGCAGCAGGGTTGGAAATGAGTGAACAAAGGTTCTTGTGGGTAGTTAGATGCCCTAATGACAAAATAGCTAACGCTACTTTTTTTAATGTCCAAGATTCAACGAACCCTCTTGAGTTTTTACCAAAAGGGTTCTTGGAAAGGACCAAAGGGTTTGGTTTAGTGTTGCCTAATTGGGCCCCACAAGCTCGAATATTGAGCCATGAGTCGACGGGTGGATTCTTGACTCATTGTGGATGGAACTCGACTCTTGAGAGTGTAGTCCATGGGGTACCACTTATAGCATGGCCACTCTATGCGGAACAAAAAATGAACGCGGTCATGTTAAGTGAGGATATAAAAGTGGCACTAAGGCCAAAAGTGAATGAAGAAAATGGCATAGTGGGAAGATTGGAAATTGCTAAAGTTGTGAAAGGACTAATGGAAGGTGAAGAAGGAAAAGGAGTGCGCAGTAGAATGAGAGACCTTAAAGATGCAGCAGCCAAAGTGCTAAGTGAAGATGGTTCTTCTACAAAAGCATTAGCTGAATTGGCTACTAAATTGAGAAAAAAGTGTCAAATGATTGATGTAGCTAACCATTAATATTGTTGGACTCCTCTAGTGTACTCGTTATCGTGCCCACGATAAATGCTAGGTACACAACTCTCCTATGTCTCTAGCTAGTCCCATTCCTAGTTAGCAATAATTGTTCTTTGTAATTGAAAAGTAGTTGGACATGTTTTGGCTTATGACTTTGTGTACATTTCCTATTCTAATATTAGTCTATATGAAAAATTGAATTTGTTTTGAATTATATTCCAATTAGTGTTTGTATGATCAAGATTATTAAATATTATGCAAAAAGTCGAAATGAATACTTACATAATATTTTTATTTAACAAATTTATCTAGCTAGGTTATTATTGATTGTTGTATTATGAAGTAGTAGGTAATTAGGAGGATGAGATCATCAGTCATCAGCAGGGGAAGAGGACCCAACCATTAAGAAATTGTGTGAAAATCATGGTAGGCACTAATTGGGACTAAATGGAGTAGTTGGTGGGATTGAAATATGTGGGTTTATCATCAACAACAAAAGATATTTTTACTCTGTCATCTAGTGTGAGTAGAACTTTGCATGGAGGGACAGCATTAAAACAACCTATATTTATTTCATCATTAAATATAAGTTTAAGCGTTTTTTCGAAAAAGTTATATTAAATTTAAAAGACTGTAGAGATATTAAATTTTTTTTTTTTATTTTAACATTATCATATCGGCTCGTAATTATCTCTAACGTTACATTGTAGCTTAAAAGAATCTCTAAGAGCAATGATTGACTAGTTGAACATGTTACATCACCAAGCTGGTTCTAAATATTGTCATTAGAGATTTACTTCTTTCATTAGGTATTAAGGAAAATCTAGCTAGCCAAGAGGGGATCTAATATTATGCGATACGTGATTCAAATTAAATTGGAATTCGAAGAAGTAGAAGCTTTTTTCAGTTTTTCTTCCTTGTAGAAGACATCATATCAATCTCAATCCGTACAAGAAGAAAATATAGAAATTTATTATATATTTGTAATTATCCTTGTCTTTTTCATATATTTTGGACCACACAAACATGAAGGGTATCAAAATTTAGTTAGATTTCATTGTTATCCTTACTTTCGTTTCAGACAAGAAATTATTGTCCATAGGGATGGCCCAATATAATGTAGGTGATCAAACACACACATGTAATATAATAATATATAGCAAAGTCCGTCATTTTTGACTCTCATTTCTTATATTTTATCACACGTTCTAAGTTTCTTCTAATATCATTATATAGTTTTATGGATTATATGAGTAATGGTCATGTACAACAAATAATAAGGTACCACGTCAAAAATTGAAAGCAACTGCCTCTGCATTTTCTAACTTGGTAAAACACTTGGTCTATCACAATACACGAGACAAAATTAACACACCAAATTAAAAGACAAAGTCATCGTTAATTACTTCTAGAATTAGAATATTACCTTAGCTAATATTATTGATTGCTCCACGGCCCACAACATAATTGACAACGTTTTATGAATGGAGAATTATGTCACGTTCTTTGTTTCTAAAATGTCTCACGCAATGTTCTTGCATAATATGCTTGTGATTATGTTATGGCAAGTTTGTTAAATTCGCTAAGAAAATGATAGACTAAACACAAGAAAGTTGTTAAAAGGAAGATAATTTCCTTTCTAAAATTTTTCTCAAGGATTGAAAAATTTCAAGAACATAACTTTATTTAAGAAATTTCATAAAAATCAAACACCTTCGAAAGAAAATATTTTAAAAGTTTTTCTCATATAATTTGGGAAAAACATATTTTGTCTTAAATCGACGAGGAAAATTTTAATTTCGATATTTGAGGAATGATATGTGATGAACCTACAAAGAGATGTATATACTTAATTATTTATCACAATATATATTTTGATCGAGAATGACAATATAATTGTTGTCAATCTATGTTATGAAAATCAAAAATTACTGGTTGTAATAAATCATTCAGAAACACGAAGTAACTGAGATTTTTAGAACCAGTAAATAAGATGAACAGAAATTTATTTGTAAAAAATAATTGAATCTGTAAAACTTACCAGAATTTGAAATACTCTTTTTGATAATTTAGGAAGAAAATCAAGTGCACTGAATTCACAGTGTCTCCTTAAGGAAATTATTCCCCTCTAGTATCCGAGGTTTGATTTGGAATATAACCTCCCACGGTAAAATGATCTTAATCAGTAGAGTATAGATACCAAAAACTCTACTGTCAGCGAATCAATCTACAGTAGGAAAGTACACGAAGAAATATGTGTTTTTAAGAAGAAGGAAGATCAGAAAATTCGTTAGGAAATATTCTGAAGACTGAATGATATTGATAGGCAAGAAGAATATATTCTGAAAGGTTGCAACCCTTTCAGAATTGACACGACCATTAATGAAAGGTTGCAAACTTTCAAATGGTATTGACTGTTCCTGAAAGTTGCAACCTTTCAAAACAGTGGCGGAAATTTTAAATATAATGGAATTTAAAACGGGTCATGCGCGCGGATCCGAGTCGGGTCGGGTTAACTGAAAAATTGAAAACATTTCGTATAACTTCTGTTATCAACTAATTAATTGAAGATAATTTTTTGGACAAATTTATTTTAATTATTAATTAAAATTAATAATTAAAATAAATTTGTCCAAAAAATTATCTGCCGAAGCGACGACGGCACGAGGGGAGTCCTTCTTTCCAACCCTTTTCACAATTAATAGGAGTGTTTATTTATTTGAACTCTCCTATTTTCATTTCCATTACCGATGAGGGACTATTGGTTTTTATTATTAAAACATAAGAGGACTTTTCAAGTTTCCAACCTTTCAAGTTTTAAACTTTTCAAATTTCTCTCCTTCCCTCTATTTCCTATCAATTCTTGCTACATACCCAACAATAATAACCTATAGATGATGCAAATTTAATTTGGGTTTGACATTTTAACTGATTGATTTTTCGTGTGTAAATATAAAATGATAAAATATAGTACTGAAATAGTGGTTAATTATGACCATGACATTACACAATTGAGGGTATAAAGAAAGACGTGTCGAACTAAGCCTTGATTTATCTAATTAATTGATTAGACTAAAGTTAAAAAGGAGTAATAAATTCACTGATAATGAATGAAATTTTGATAAATGTCCAGTCCCACCAGTACACCATTATCATTTATTTAAATTATACATGTTCATAAATAAAATAATATATGAGGTCGACTTATTAATTATTATATGAAAGTTATCCAATATACAGTATGTAATTTCTTTATTATTTTGACTTTATTTGGTTTGCTAAATTTCTGTAAATTTCATTATCGCTTAACAGAATAATTGTTTTGAACACATAAAAATAACACATGCATATCACTTTCATATTTTCTTAGCATGGGCCCTGGCACTTTAAAAGAGACTATTCACACCATGTACTGAGTAGACTTTTGGCTTCATAACTTGTAAACCTTTATTATGTATACAAGCTAAAAAAATATTTCCTCCGTCTTATTTTAACTCTTTTCCTGTCCATTAAAAAGATAATTAAATAAAGTATTGTCTTAACAAAGTTATTTTAATTATTAGATATTCTTTTGAGAATTTATAAGTATTAATATGCAAATGTGACCAATGTAAATTATAATGGAATGAATAGAATTATTTATTTTTAATAAAAAATCTCGGGCTAGACCCCGTGATTATATGGGGAAAAATACTGCAAGTGAACTTACTCTTGAGTATGCAAGTTTGGGTGTGCCAAAGCTAGCAAGGACACACTAGGCCCCACTCTGTTTTATGGTTGCTAATATTGAACTAAGAGGGTGGAGCTTGCATCTTCCAATGGTTGCAGCTTTCCTGTACATGAAAAAAATATACATAAACATATCTCTAAACTTGTTAAGTCAAGTACTTTAACTTATAATTTGTTCACCGTTTGGTTGATGAAGAATCAAATTTTGTGAGGATATTGATAGAGATGATATATATATTGTTCCCAACTCATTACTCCAATTGATAGTGAAAATGTTCAAAAATTATTGTGCTTACTTCAAGTCATTTTGGACAAATTTAAAAACAAACGAGACTAACACAATTTGTCTTTATTTCTTCAATGAAAATCATTACAATACTAGCACAACTGAAGGCATTTAGAAGATAAATGTCGTTCGAAATCAACCAACAATGTTTAAAAGGAACAAATTATGAATGGTTTAATGATATAATAGGAAAATGACATAGTTGAGGTATCTGAGGGAAAAAAAAACCCAACAAATTTAGAGATTGGTTTATGAGTTTGACCTTATTTGATCAGTTTTACACTATAAAGCTGTGACTAAAATATTTACTTGACGAATGAGGATTAAAAATAGTCAGATGAACAATCACAATGGTAGAGCAACATCAATAATTGTATTGTCACAACATTTGAATCAATATATCGTTCCACGAGTCTATTGGACCAGGCAAACACCAATGTAGACAGTCATTCTGAATTTTTTTCTTCTTATTTTCTACAGCAAATGGCTGATATTGCCTGTAGACTCCGGGATGCCCGTCTGGTCTCAGCAGTGAAAGTAAGGTTGTGTCAAACAATTTCACCTTCAAACCCAATCCAGATGCTCTTTTGAATTCTTCCAGCTCAACTTTGCGCATTACCTCGTCTACATAACCAATGTCAATCTCACCTTCTTTGAAAGGTCCTGTTCTGTTACAATAACCTCCACTATTCCATTCACCATTCTCAAAGTGATCAGGGGTAGTGGTTCTGAAAAATGTATACGCCTTGTTCTTCGAGTTCATGATGAATTTAAAAGTTGTATTCAATGCTTTGCGATAGGCGTATTCAAATCCCACCTGTGTAATGTTCTTACCAGGACAGTTGTGACACCCAACAATCGTATCATTCTCAAGGTAAATTGTTGATTTCAGGTACCATTTGCCACCAGCTACAAATACATAATCAAAATTGTCGAATTGTTGAGTCCAAACATCATCCAGTTTGTCAAGATGAAGCTGAGTAATGTCCGTTGAAGCTCCATTGTCATCTTCAAAAACAGTTGATTTTGCGAGAAAAGGTGACCAAATCACAGAAAGATTGAAGTCGTGGAGCGGAAAGTACCATCTTCTGCTTTTGTATTGCTCGTCATGGTACACATCATCAGCTTCTTCCTCCTGTTTCACAATGTAAACGTGATTAGAAACAAAAACTATCTTTTCCCTTATAAGTTTCGGCAGCATAGGACAACCCAACACATTGCAACACGATGAAACGTAATCAACTACAAATAAAAAATCTCAAAAAGTATAGTAAAATTCCCAAGGAAATGAAGCAACATGAATTTAACGTGCCAATGATGTCCCGAATGAAGCTTGTGTACAAAAGAGCAAAGGGTTATTCAACAATATCGAATTCTAAATTTAGGATATAGATTCTCGAATTAGCAGCCTCGATTTTATATAGTAAAGAAAATTCCATATTCAGTCAGTCAATTCCAAGTAAAAGAAGTACTGTACTAAAGAAAGAATCAGCACGATCAGCCAACCATCTAAAACGACATTTGTATAAGAGGGTTCTATATAAGACACAACAGGTAAGTAAGATTTCTACCATAATGATCCTTATTACTCTATGACAATTACCATTAAGGTTTTGTCCTTAGAAAAACTGCCTGTCATCTCTTGCAAAATTAAACAACACAAAGAATTATGGGCCTGGGTGTGAAGACGGGTGTTAGACTAGACTGATCGTCTGCTTATATGGACTTACGATATCCGGGGTTGAGTTGGACCCCAGTGTCATATCATTACACATCAATTTTTGCTGAAACCTCAAGGAGATAATAATGAGGCCAGCTAATTTTTCTTGGTCAAAGGAGATGGAACAACAGCAAAACTTTAGTAATAGTCTTAAATGTACACTTAGTTAGGTTTGACACTTAACTTTAAATCAACTTCTTAACAACTTTCGAAACAAATGTTATAACTACAAAGAGCCTTTACAAGCTGGCTCGCGGGACCAACATCCATGTAACTGAGAGTGACATTACCGATAAATCCAATATGTAGCTATGCCACCTCATACACAAAAGATCCTAATTATGGTTAGTGAGATACAACTAGATAAGGCACCAGCTTATACAACACAAGAGTGCCCCCACAAATTGTAATGCCATACACAAACAGCCACAACAAGCTTGTATTTACTTGATTTGATATCAACATTACCATTTAAGAGCAATTATTGTTACGACTAAACAACTAAATCATGACGCTTGCAATTACCAATTTCACTAACACAACAAACTGAAACAAAACAAAACAAATGAAATGTAGAGCAGCTAATTGCCTGGTTCAAGTATAACTCTTTTTGAGCTTGAAATGTACCTGTGAGAGAATACAAAGCAATGACTGCACATGATTACGCATGATTGAATCGCCTATGAAGGTGAATGATTTGTTTCGCATCAAATTGAGGAATTTCTTACGGCTAAATCTCGGTAGCTCACAGTCTGTTGGGTTCCATCTCCAGTTAAGATATTCAGTATCAGGTCTCCCATTTTTCATACAGTTCTGATGAGATTCAATTGAATAGCAAGTCGCGTTCGTGTATACTGGACCACTTGGATCATAAACCCAATTTCCTATAAATAAATCACATGTTCCTGAAAAAGAAAAAAAAAAGAGTCAGTTAATTGTAAGGACTCATACATTAGTGACCTAAGCTCAAAGTGCAAAATCTTATTATTTGTACTCAAAGTTGTTCCTTTTTCTATTACTAAAAAAATTCATGACTACCAGCCAAAGATAATATCATAAAAAATTAATCCACCATCCATATTTTATATATTCCACTAGAAAATCTTAATAGCTCAGTTGATTGGTGAGAGTTTGATTCCGTAGAAAAGAGATTTTCACTACAAATATGGATGAAAGACTTGATCCTCAAATACCAAATATACAAAATTAATCACAAAACACAGAGACGAGAAGTGAAGGAAAATTACCCACGTCATTGATTACACAAAATCCAACGCAAACAAATTACAATAAGCTAAAAAAAAACAGAAAATATTAATCTTTCAAGATTCAATTTTTACAAGAACTGAGCATTCATGCAAATATAAACTAACCATTTCGCAAAGTTTGGTTTTCTGGAAGATCAATAGTCACCAGAGATTCACTCACAGTCACCGTAGGTTCATCAACGGTCACCAGAGGTTCATTGACAGTCACCGGAGGTTCACTCACGGTCACCGGCGCCTGTGGCAATGTGTTGTCGGAAAACAGAGCAGTATTTTTCACTTCAATCTGAGAGAACTGTTCAAAATTGGACAAGATGAGTCGATAGGCAAGACCCAACAACAGAACAAAAACTGTAAATTTTACAAAAATTAAAGAAAATTGTTTCTTGATGACATTGGTTCCATTAAAGGCCTTCATAGTTTTTAGTGTTTCTGCACTTGTTTTTACAGAGACCCAAATAATGTAACGAATATACTTGTACACATTAAGGTCACTGCAATATTATAATTATAAATAAAAAACTTAGATAAGGAAGAAGATGATGGAAAAAATAAAGGATTTTTTATTTTAAAAAAAAGAAATATTTTTGGCAACAAACTGTTAATAGGAAAAAAAATTAAAGAAGGGAAGGGGGTCGTTAGAAATTAGGCAAAGTAAGTTGCACAAAAGTACAAATGAGAGAAAAGGGTACAAAGGGAATAAAGTGGGCTTCACTTTAACAGTGAAATGGTGCAGCCCATTGTGTGCTCAATACTCATATAATTAAATTTAAATTTAAATAATTGGATGTCGATTTGGTTAAAAGTTGAAAAGAGTATTTATTTAAATGGGTCAAATCTCATTATTTGAAATCTTTTGAAAAATTAAAATTTATTTTAAACTTTTATCTTTTACAAAAACACCGTCTATAGTAATTGTTTGTGTTATATTACATAATTTTTTTACGTGAACACCAAAATAGTGATGAAATATTTAGTGAATATTAAATAATATATGATTGTTGATGAAAATGATGAAAAATTAACTCAAGGTAATAAAATCATGTGCTTCGTCTACTTCACGATATATGGAATGATACTTGTTGCACTCGCTCCAAATTACCACATTGCTCTAGTGTGATGGGAACTACTTATTATTGTTGTAACGAACATTCAATTGACTTGTAATACAAACTTATAGTTAGTTTTAATAGTTTTTAAAACTTATGAGTATAAATCGTATTTTTCTAAAAAGGTGAAATATATTTCCCAAATCATATGGCCAAACACATGATGAAATTTCACTCAAATAATATTTGCCAAAAATATTTGAAAATTTATGGCCAAACGCTAGCTAAGAGTGTGTGTGACATGCATTTACTTTGAAACAAAGTTGCTCTTTTATATAATTAAAAATAATATTTTTATTTACTTTTCTTGCAAAATGAAAAAACGAATGATATGAATGTTCTGATTAGAGATAAAGTTAAATGTGTTATTAGTGTATTTTATACGTTTAAAGATGTAGAATTTCTTTTAGTAAAGTAATAATTTTGTAAAAGTTATATCGTATTAAAATTTAATATTTAAAAGTTAAATAAATTTTATATTTAAAAGTTATGAAGGTTGTATATAATATATATGTAAATAGAAATTTAAAGAAGAATATGTTGAAAGAAAAAGTGAGGATTATTCTTGTGCTTTGGAGATTCTTTAACATATATTATGGCTTTTCTTTTCTCACATTTTTCTTGGTTGGTTTGTGAAATGTCATTTGGCCAATTAAACATTTTTTAAAAAAAAAAGGAATAATATTTCCTCCATACCAAATACACCCCAAGAGCAAAGTTGTTTGAGTTTGAAAATGACAGCTTATAATTTAATAGTAATATTAATATCGGTAATACAGAAATTATTTAATCAAATTGAGTAAACTTCAAATGGTTTTTCATCGACAATGTTGCTTTCTTCTTTTATTTCGGATATTTTAATTCATAATTTTTAGTTTGCTAGAAAATGACTTTCGCTCAAAACTGTAGAATGTTAAAATTTTATAACCCATGTTTGAAATTTTATACTCGTGGTGATCAAATTTTATTTATTTATACATAGTTTGTATGTACCATATTGCTTAAACCTTGCGGATATTATATTTCTTGATCAAAAAGATATGAACTAAATTCTATATAATTTGATAAATAAATGTGATTTTTCTAAGGAAGGAAAAATGTTAAAGCTTCGAAAAAAATCACAAAAAAAGCAAAAGACTAATCAAAGTTTAATCTATACAATTAAAGAAAAGATAAGCAAATTCTTGGGCCATTTGTTTTTCCTAGCAATCTTCAAAGAATACGGGTGTTAATGATTTGCTTTGGTTCGATTTTTATCAAAAAAAAAATTAATGAGAACCACTTTAGAGACTATTATATTTATTCAAAGCAAAAGACTAGTATATAGGTAGCTTAATAGTCTCTAAACCGATACTAAATAAATCACCTTTCTTAAATAATTGTATACTAACATATAGTTTTTCTTTAATTAATAAAGGTGCAAGTGATATTACAATTAGGCAAATCTTGCTAACTTTATTAGGGAATAAAGACATCCCTATTCCCACTAATAAATCCATCACAATTTAAGATTACTTGTCAGCTTTCTGGGCAATTCCTTATTATCTACTTTTATTATTTTTCAGCAAAATTCATACTCTAAATTTATATCTTTATTTTTTTTAATTCTTATAAAATTTAAATAAGATTGAACAGTGCACGTAAAGTGGATTACTCAAATAACTTTTGATATGACAAGTTACTTGCTAGTGGCCCTAGATGAAAAGTGATTTAATATGATCGAAAAATTATGTTGCGAAGAAAATGTATTTATTTTTTTATATTTTTAACACGATTAACAAAACAATAGACCATATGAAAAATAAATAGCTAAAATGAACTTTGAGTTCAGTCTATACTCAATTCTTCTTTCATTTTGTTATAATAAAACGACTGCACATCTAATGTTATATCACCAACCCATTCCTTTCTTTTTTTTTCCTTTTTGGATCCCTCAGTGTAATTGAAAATTAAATAACAAAAGATCCTCCACATTAATAATCCAACTTTAGTTCAAATCTCTGCTTAGAAGTTTATTAAACAAGATCTAAATATGCTTCTATTAGGAGGATAGGTAAAGCCCACTTGAAGGCTCACTACTAAATATGATGGGCTTATGTTATAGGGCCCACATTTCTTCTTTGTCCCTCTATGGCTGACTATATTCCATACCCACCAATAATTGAATTGGTCCTATTAACAGTTTTTCATCCAATCCATATGGCAATTCAATTTTGTTAAGAAAAGAATAATAACTCATTATCATCATATCATATGGATATGGAAATTAAATTTTTTAATCATCTTTAGCTAAGATATTACTTCTAAATATACTAGGGGCCAGTACGAGCCCAACCTGAAGACGTTTTGAGTTTTTTCTTTTCTTTTTTTTGAAACATGCCTTTTGATTAATTATTGATCAAATCAAAGTTAAGTACATCATGAATCAAAGATGGGGATCTATTATCCTCTACATCGCATCCGTCATAGAACTTGAAGCCCGAGCTAACTGGTGGGCTCAGTGGTCCGCTGATCTTTTAAAGAAAGACAAACCATATATATGAGTGCTTTTCAATCATGAATTATAGCATCAAAGCAAGAGTTGTTTCCACAGGCTTTTTCAAGTGCTTTGTTTAACCAAAAGGTTGTCCATCTCTACAATTATCGCTGTAGCTGCAAAGTGCTCCTTTGATCAGCTTAGTGCTTCCATAAGTGAGTCATTGTCTACCTAACCGACTAGAGCAGCCTCTGATGAAGCTTCCATGAGAATCTTGAACTAGCATGCTGACAATTATTCCTGAAGCAAGATCCCAAGAAGCATCAATGTTGCATTTAAAGATATTCTCACCGGGAGGAAACCATTTTGTTGCAAAATCAGGTCCTATCGCAATAAAACTTGGAGGTTGGTGTTCTTGCTTTAGTCCAATCTTGCGAAAAATGGGCTGCCTTTTGTAAACAATTTCAGGCCGTGAAGATCTTCCCTTCCACAAGGTTATTTCTAGCATTCCAAAACTCCCATAGGATCATATGATAGCTTCATGTAATTGATCAAGAGTCACGATATCAATCAACGACTTAAGCCCATCCAAGAGCAAGGTCCAGATTGTCGCCATTACAATGATGATTCCAGCCAAACTTGTTTTGCTACATTGTACTCGATTAAACAGTGCAATATTTTTTCTGTCTCTTGGAGGCATGCCGGACATATGCCGGATTGAGAATCTTCTTATTCATTAAGTTATCACCAGTTGAAAGAATAGCTCTCCAAACAAAATTCAAAACCTTAGGAGGTATCTTCAATTTCCAGATTTTCCACCAAAATTGTCCATTCGAGATAGGTGTAATAGCATTGTGCAGCTCCGAATACCCACTTTTGACAGTGTATCGTCCTTTCCTATCAAGTTTCCACATCCATTGATCATCCCAGAGAAAATCCAAACAGAATCCACTTAATGCAATGTATCTCATCAATGGAGAAGAGTGTCTCCAACTTGTGAGCGTTCCAAGTTCTTGTATACCAATCAATAATATCTGCCACACACAACTCCAACAAGTCTTCATCGGGGGTACTATAAATAAATAATGATTGTCCCACCGGTAACCATGGATCATTAAGGATTTTTAATAGAGTAAATGCCAAACTTTGGAAGGATGGCAGGTTTACAGTAAAGACATGCTATAACAATCTTTTGTGGAGAATAAGAGGCGAACTGTGGTAGTTGGCCATGGAGATATTTTCTCATGATGCCGACCAAATTCTTGAACTATCTGGGGATTCCTTTGTTGACACTTCTTCTATGAGCAGAGCCCTTCTTCTAAGAATATAGTGGCTGATAGCTTTGCTAATTCTTTGATCAAACATCCTAAGATAGTATATATTGCGTCATTGTCCGAGTGAGATTTATCCCAAGAGATAAAGGAATGAACTGTGTCGCCTACATATACCCAACTGCAACCCGCAGTTTTCTTGGCTTCTCGTCCTCTCATCATCTTCATTACCCTCCCCATCTCATTCCATTTCCCTTCCGAGGCATAGATACCAGCCAATTGCGCGTATCTAGACCCGTTCCCTCCTTCAATTTGCAATAGCTTATCCTCTGCAGCTTTTGCAAGTTCAGCATTTCTGTTCATTTTGCAAGCATTTAGAAATGTTCCCAGAATTACAGCATCTGGTTCCATGGGCAACTTCTCCATTAAGTTTACAGCTTTGTCAAGTTGATTTGCCCTTCCATACAAATCGATCATGCTTGCGTAATGATCAGTTCCTGGTGATATATTGTGATCTTTGGTCATGGAAAAGAAATACTCTTCTCCTATTTTTACTAATCCACGGTGCCTGCAAACTGATAGAAGAGCAAGGAAAGTGACTTCATCAGGTTGGAAACCTTGCTCTGTCATCTGACTGAAAAGCTGAATAGCTTCATTTTCATACCCATGGAGAGCATAACCAGCTATCATACTATTATAAAGGATAGTATCTCT